GCTTGCCAGGCAAGCGCTTACTCTGCTGAGCCATCTCCCCAGCCCCTCCTTTTTGTCCTAACAGAGTTTAGCAAAGGAAATTGGGCCACCCCTGTAGCACAGCCTGCTTGCATCTTAAATCCCGTGAACATACCCTCTTGGGAGAAGATCTAATGCAGAGAGAGAGAGAGAGAGAGAGAGAGAGAGAGAGAGAGAGAGAGAGAGCCAGACTGTGGGGTTAGACTCCTACACTTTTCACACAGGGGAAGGAATTCAGCAAAGGAGATATCTGTGGACTAAGGCACCAGGGAAAGTTGATTCTGGTTAAGGACCTGGATTGAGTTCTAAAAAGGCCATGACCCAGGTTGTTGTGGGAATAGGCAGTAGCTGCAAACACGGAGATCTTGGGGAGAAAAAATGTTGGAACAGCATCAAGAATTGGCACTTGTTCAGTATTCTCCAAACACTGGGAGTGTTGTGCCACTGGTTGGCCTGCCCATTGCCCACCACCCAACTTTGGGTGCATACAAGAGAACCCCACTCCACCCCAGCCAAAAGCTACTGAGCACTGGGAACTGTAGGACGCAGAAAGCAGCGGCCTTGTCAGAGGGCTTGCAGGGAGTGCTTAACTAGAAACTTACAGAAAAACACAAAACACAAAACACAGAAGCAGTTGCTGAGTTCGTTGTGCAAGGAAGCCAGCAGAGATAGAGAAGGTCCTTACAGGAATAAGTGAAAGACTGAGTGCTGACCCGACCACACTGCATCCTTCCCCTCTCAATCTAATTGAAGATGTCCAGTCATAAGACAAAGGGGGAAAGCCTCGGCCATTTATAGCCACAGAAGTGAAACAAAATTAAGCAGAATGTGGCTTTTAAGTGGGCTCAGCAGTGCATCCAGATTCCTAAACTCCCTCACTCTCAGCTGGCAACTGAACAGTTCATAGGCGGTGCCTGACCAGGGACTGGCAGAATCGGGACGGGTGCTGCAACGCATCACAGAAACAGAAGCCAGGATAAAAACTCACCATCATTTCAGTAGATGCAGGCAAAGCTTTTACATGATCTGATGTCCATTCTTGATAAAACCTTGACAAAAATTGGTATAAAAAGATCTTGTCTGAAAATTATAAAAGCCACTCATAACATACACCCATAGCCAGCGTCATGCTAAATGGAGAAAAACTGAAAGAATTCTCACTAAAATCAGGAAGAAGGCAAAGGAGTCCCCACTATCACTACTCTTGTTGAATATAATGCTGAAAC